ACAGATAAACCGTTAGTTCCCCGGCAATGACGCCAAAATTTGATCACACCCAACTATTCCTTATAAAAAGGACTAAGCGGTCGTTGCACATATAATCCGGTTTACAAGTCCGGAGTCGAATCCCACAGAGAACTAAACCCTAGCTACAGCTGTTCACTATCACCAAGAAGACAAGCTTGAACAGTTCTTAACTTATAGATATTAAGATTCTTGTGTTTAACTAATTAACTAATAAATTAACACTATAGATACTACAGGTTGGAGAAAAGATTAAGAAGGTCTAGAGTTATGATTTCCCCAATTGTCGGAATCTTTTCCGCTACGTCTTCTATAATTTCGCGTAAGTATTCTCTACCGATCATGAGTGCTCTGCATGTTGTAATTCTCTCCCGAGTAATTATGACAATTTACTAGACATACTCTCCCGAGATACGCTAGCTAGCTTTAATTACAGCTCACTTAGATCGCACTCAAGGTTTCGTTATCCCTAATCCCACCTTTAAACCCTTGGTTATTGATTCCTCACATACGTCGGGAGTGATGTTGTTCAACAACTACCTAAATATGCACTCTCTCCCGAGTAATACATACTAAATAGGCACAACTAATTGAGGTCCCTTCAATTAACCATAAGAATAATATATTTGAACAAATAGAGAAAATACCATGGCTCAATTATATAAAAACATAACAAGAATTTATCCTACAAAAGGTTCCATCAAAACCCTAGCTAACAAATTAGCTATTCATAATAGTATGTAAAACAACAATACGAAAAGTCATAACCAACAATGAAAAATAGGAAGAGGAAGGAAAAACTCGTAGAAGAATTCCCCGCCTTGCTCCTATTGTGTCTATGCCTCCTTAGGTCGAATTTGTGTCAAAAATTGGTCTCCTCTCCTCAAAATACCATTTTTCATGTATATATACCAAGTAGGGTCGGACCCAAATAATTATACCTTCTCCTACGCGAAAAAGGACAAGTTTCCAGGCCTGGACGTCCGCAGCCGTGGTCCGGGCGCGGTAATTTCCTAATGTACTGCCTCAGTCCGTGTCAGGTCCGCGGTCGCGGTTTTGACTGCGTTTTTCACCCTTTTCTGTTAGAGGTTTGGAAAAACGTAAAACATGAAAGTTGTATCCCTTTGAGTTAGCTTTCCAACCATATATTGTGGAGCCCAAATGAAATTCTGAGTGAAAAGTTATGTGCATTTTACTAGACAGTGCGTAATATGCCTATTTGATTCTTCATTTTGTTGCTCTATCATTCGTTAATCCCCGAATACGATCCTGGCTTAATTCCTTGGGCTTTTACTCAGATTTCAAAGCTCCAAATCACTTGAGTTCATTCCATAACATTTACATAGCTCGGAATTACCCTTACAAGGCATAAAACACACAAGTAATGCAAGACATTAGTGATTAAAGCTCAAACTCAATTAAAGTGCAGTAAATTTGAATGTAATAAGCGATTAAAATACGTAATTATAGCCTATCATCAGTAGTATTTGGAGTTAAGTTGAAAAATGGTATTTAAAATTTGGAATTATGGTATTTGAAATTTGAAATTATGTTTGGACATGCATTTCACTTGAAAAAATATTGCAGTTTTGTGAGTAGGGAAACAAAAATTCCTAAATATTTTGAAAAAATGATCAAACCCACTTTTTGATTATTGAAAAACTCGTTTTCAAAAAAATTCCTAAAACTTACAAAATTTCATGGACAAACATATTTTTGAAAAGAATTCGAAAAAAGGAAAAAAAATCTATGGACAAACGGGTCCTTAATGATTGAGATCTGAATAATTAAAATTCAGACATCTATTAAATACAAACAAATGAGACTTAAATAAGATTTAAATAATAATTATATCAATCTAAACACAAAGAGTCGTCATACACATAGGCGAATATAAGATTTAAACTTCATGATTTCGAGTTAAAAAATTTATCAGACTCTTATTTGATATACTGAATTCAAAATCTATTAATTATATTTATTTAGTGAATTTCTTAAGCTGTTGAGTTCGGATGAATCCATAACTCCAACACGACATTCACCCTAGGTCATATGAATCGTTGTTTATCGAAACAATTTACGTGTGTTAAGTATTTTTTGACGATACATCAAATAAAAGATCATAAGATGATTAAACCTGCTAGCTTGAAGATCAATATATAAGGTATAACCGCAAAATTGCCAATTCAATTCATTTACATGACATTTATTATAATATTTATATTATGAAATTATGAAAAGGATGATCCAAATAAATCACCACAAATAATTGAGAGTATATTAAAGAGAATATAGGCACCAAAATGGACACATAGTATTATTTCAGTGGACAACTGGCTTTACAATGGCTTTTGAGCAACAAATTGAAGAGACATCCAAATTTAGTTTGGAAAATCCACCGTGCATAAAAACCATAGAAAAGTTTAAATGCATTTTAAAAACATGAAAAACGTGGGATAATGAAAATTAAAGATAAAGTCACTGGCAATTCCCTATCTACATGCTAGTATTAAATCCTAGTCTAGTAGTAGTTACTATGATTTTCTTTCGTTTTTCTTTAACAATTAGTGGTGTTTTCGCATCAACTTTCAATATCAAGACCAAGTTATTTTTACTCTGCAAGTTAANGGGAGAAAGAAAAGAAAGTGTATTGGTAATTGAAAACTTGCAATTCAAACCACTGTTTTAAAAGGCGATGACATGAGGCAAGATGTTTTAGTTAACGTGGGGCTAGTCGTAAACCCCGCCCCAGGTGTTGGATTATATAACGCAGCGGAAGCAATTCAGGTATCGAATCACATGTAATCTAGACAACTAGCACATACGGGATTTCACGGATTACCTCTTGAAGCGTGAACAAAGCTCCTCTATCACACGAGTCTCCAGTTCCACGACAACTCAATGAAATCTCCACTACCAGCACAATCATGATCCTCGAACGTTCCATGCTCTTCTAATGTGTTGCGCAAATAATATCAATTTCGTGTAGGCAAAATTTTTAGGAAAATATGGCTGAATTTTCGGCCCGATCCTCTCTCACCTCTATGTGGAGAAATTATGTATTTACAACCCAAGTTTTAAGGATTAACTTTCCAAAACCTGTTGGGTTTTCTTTTCCACCAAAAAAATAATTCATTTATTTCATATTATTTAGGCACAACAGGGACCACCTAATTTAATTAACAAGGCTTCTAATTATGAAATTAATTTTTAATTTTTGAAATTAATATCCACCATAATAATTTACGAATTATTCCACTCTGTAATTGCACTCCTTATTCAATTTCGAAATTCATCCATTAAATCTTATTTAACTCCCCATGTTAAGATTCTAATACTAATCAAATTGATTATTTTCTTTAGACTTTCACTTAACTTATTTCATGTGTCGGATACAAAATTCATCGTCTAGGTTTATACATAAAACTTATAAGTTTTCATAAATATGTATCATCAATCTCTAAATGGAGACATGGATTCCATCAACTAACTATTACTTCGCCAATATACATTATTATTATCCAATTTACCAGGCATATTGACCTACGAAAGAATCTCGCCTTTTAATAAATCAAAATAATAATAATAATATACAAAGTTAATAATAATTATATCAAGATTAAGAGTATAGGTGTATTTAATGGCTAGAGAGTTTATTTTATTAAGTCAATATAAAATACTTATCTCTACTTGGTCCGTTCAATACATACAAAATGTACTAGCACAAAAAATTAGAATTCAAATCATTCCCATAATCAAGATAAATTATATTTAATTATGTGCTACAATCATTCGTGATTGTTTGTCCAATTTCATTATTAGATTGTGAATTCAAACTTTATACTTATAAGAACTGATGATTAACTACATACACTAAATCAGCTACTATATTTATAGGACACACACTAATATATGATCTATTTAAAACTTTATTAACATTTATTAAAAATTATTCCATAATAAATACTATATCCAAACCAAACCCATGGTTAATAGTATAATCCAAACACCATATATCTTTAATTGTTTTAATTTATAAATTAATAAAATAGCAAAATAATTATCAAAAAATATAAAACACATTAAAAACCTAAGAAAATTACAAGGGATTAAAAAACACATAAAAATAAAATATCTGACATCTTTTATAAATTTAAATAATGAAATAGTGTTAAAATTACAATGAGATAAAAATCAACTAAATCATCTTATCTTTCGAACGATTAACAAAATCATAATATTTTTAAAAATGTTATCAAATTACAAAGTTTACCTCTTTAAAAGTTAATAATCATTAAATTCCATCAAATTATAATTTAAAATGTTACTCCTTGTGAGTAAATATAAAATTGCTTTCACAGAGCAAAATAATAAAAGTTTAATAATTTTGAAAGACATCGAACTAATTAAGATATAGCAAGTGAAGATGTAAAATTTGACTCTTCAAATGATACTCACCCTCGTGATATTCTTGATTAGCAAATAAATAATACTATAACCCATTATTTTGAGTTACTCTCAACCTTTATATTTTTATTAATGAATAGAACTTTAATCATTCATTCATTAAAAATTTTGAGATTCAACAATACTAATCAGGTAATAGACGCATAATTTGCATTAGCAACTGTTACACGAGCCCCATGCATTGAGAATTAGGCGTATTGCGTACGCATAACGTAGCGCTTATGGCCTAAGCCTTACATAACTAAGCCCAAAAAAGCCTTTTAAAACACTGATTTAGACTAGTATTATTATCACGAATTCATGCTAATTTGTGATGAGATGATAAATACATTTCATTTCTAATTAGAAATAAAAAATGAGACATCCAGTCACACCTTAGTCGACGAGTGAAATGGTACATTGTGTATATACGCTTGTACTCGACTCTGTAATTTTTTCCCTTTTGGTATATTTTGTCGAATTGCTTACTTTTTCTTATTATTTATTTATTTATTATTTATTATTATACAAAACTACAACTCTATTCTCTTTCTCTCTCTTTTCTCGTTTTGTTGCTTCAACAGCCGCACTGTCCTTCTTCTTCGTTCTTCTTCTTCTTCTGCAAAATCACCAGCATCTTCTTCTAGGGTTTCTTGTAGGGTTTTCCAGAAGCTTCTCGAAGCTGGATTCTCCTTCCTTCTTGTTCCCCTCTCTCTCCATCGCTTTTTCACCGGTTCGATTAATCCCCAAAATACCCTCATTTTTCTTGCGAATTATCATTTATCGGATAAAAACGGTAACTTTATACTTTCTTGGTATCTGAATCGATCTGTGTTATGAGTTTTACTCCAAAATCTGTTCGATTAGGGCAAAATTGCACGATTTAAAGGTTTTTGATTGTTGATAGTGTGATTTTGAATGGCATTGGGGGATTTAATGGCGTCGAGGTTATCGCAATCATCAGCAGCTTTGGATGAATTTGGCAATCATCACGAGGATGAAGCAGAAAGGAGTAGTAACAATGTAAGGGATTTGGATACTACTGCTACTGCTAGTAGTAGTAGCAGCTATGTTGTTGGTGGTGGGGGTGGAGTTGTGGGTGGTGATAATAATGCGATGACGACGACAACGAGTATGGCTTATTTACCGCAGACTATTGTGTTGTGTGAGCTTAGGCATGATGGTTTTGAGGATTGTGTTCCTTCTGGTCCTTCTGATACCGGTTTGGTCTCTAAATGGCGGCCTAGGGACCGTGTAAGTTGTGCCTCTTTTCATTTGTTTATCTCAATGTAGCATGAATTGAGTGGAGCATTTATATTGTTGAATTAATGCGTAGTTGATTGATTGTTTGGTTAATGTAACAAGGAGTGTACATTAGTGTTGCAGTAAAGCATCATACTTGTTTGTTGTTCCTTGATTTGTTAGCTGGTTTTCTTCTGAAAGTTGAATGCTACTATGCAATTGTAAGTTGATAAGACGTGCTTGCTTTGTTTCTCTAGAGTGAACCTTATGCTACAGCATTGCCTTAAAATTCAAATAAATTGGAAAAGCGCCGATGTCTTATTAAATTGGGTGCCCTGAGATTTAATCTAATAATAAAAGAAGTTTGTCTAACAGCCAGTTGGAAGATGGAGGTTCGAATGAGAGATTCCAGCTTTTGCAGTTAGTGATTTCTACTCTGTGATCTGCAAGGAATTGTCGGATATTAGATTTAATTTAATGTTTCGTGGTTGACGGTGAAGATTAGTACTGTGTGGGAGCATGAGTGATCATCTGTCATCATTGCAGGAGTATCTACCTTTGTGTATCCAAGTAAAACTGAAGCTTGTTTTCATCTTGGATGTTAAGTTGGGGAGCTAGACATGAGTTTCCATAAAACTAGTTGCTGATTGTGCTCTTTTTTGATGCCTTTGGCATGAACTAATGTGGAAAATTACTTTTTTCTTACCTCAATTTAGAGCACTTGGAACATGTGGATAGTGTCTCCCAGAATTGCAGGAACATCAGAATCAAGGTTGTTCTGACTAAGACATTAAACATATAATTCCTTAAAGATTAGGAGGATTGTTATGAGACTAAATGCTTATGTTGGTCTGTTAAAAAATGTCCTCGCTTTCTGTTGAAATGTCATGTTTTGACTTCTAACATAGTAGGATAACAAGGAGTCAATGGGGCTAGAATACTTAGTGGGGAAACTTATTGGGTCATTGTGTGTTTTTTATTTTAAGTGAGTCTCACATTGGTTGAGGAATGAGTGGTGGTCTTCTTATCTGGGCTTGGTAATCCTCCCCTCATGAGCTAGCTTTTGAGGTTTAGTTAGGGTCAATGTCCATTTCCTTCACATGGTATGAGAGCTAGACACATCGCTCCCTGTTGTTGTGTTTCTCAATGTTAGGCCCCTATCTTATGTTATCCAAGCTTCATTTGTCCAATCCTAGGCGTGTGGAAAGGTGTTATGTCCCAGAAGGGAATGAGTTGTGGTCTCCTTATATAGGGAAATCTTCCCCTCACGGGCTAGCTTTTGCACAATATTCACAATTTTTAAGCTTTAGAACATTAGACTTCAAGAGGCTTATTAATTGCTGATCACCATTCTACCAGCCTCCTTCCCAAGAGTGATTCCCCTTGTGGGTAATCATTTGGACTCTATGTGTCAATGAAGACACTTGTTGATTTAATGGGAGGGATTCAGTAGGAAGTTCTTCTGGAAAGTCTGAAAGTAGAGCGTTTGTTTAGAGTACAGTATGTGGTAAAAGACTACTTTCTTGCTATATAAATAGTCTTTTGAGGGATTAATAAAGAAATGCTATCATTCAATTTGGGACAAAATGGATCGTTGTTTTTCCAGGAAATAGCCCGAAAGAAAACAACACAAGGAAAAACGCAATGGGCTTAATATATTTTAATATCAAAAGCAAATATTAGATGTAAGCACCAAGGCTGTCGCTTAGCGGGAAGTGAGTGAAAATCATGGAAAAACACGATTCAAACCCATGCAGAGACAAAAAAACTAAGTGATTTCTTTCTATATGTCTAAGCCTTAATATCTGTTGATGGTAGGTAGCAGGTACCTAGTAATATCGTCAAAGTGTCTGCAAGCTTGCTGGGACAATAACATTATCTTGTGTTATTAAAAGCTAATCGCTTTGTCGCGTAAAAGCAATGAAGCAACATCTCGTGAGGGGTTATCGCGTCATAGGTGAAGCTATCGCTTCAGAGATATGTGCGCTTCAATCAAGGATCGGCAAATTGATCCATCAAACGAAAAGGGGTCGGTTCTTTGAATATCAACTTTGCAATTGTGCCCTTTACTTTAATGGAGTGTACACTTCACTTCTTGCTTTCGCTTCAAGCTCCTAGAACCTTGTCGCTTCTTTTGCGCTTTTTGCTTTTAAAAACATTAACATCATAAAAAAAGCAAGTGTTAAATAGCTATATTGAGTGACACGGATAGCAAGGATTCACATAGCCGAAACAAACTAACTCGGGATTGAGGCGTAATAGTAGCAATAGTTGTTTTGAGAAGAGCAACAACTACTAGTATGACGCCTCAATAGTAGTATTAGTAGTAGTTGTATCATAAGCAAAAATTAAACAACAGTTGCTGTCGAAGTCCTCATACAATTGACTTTGTGAGGTCCTTTTTTAGTGTTAATCTAGATTTTTAAAATGAAATGAGCTATAGTTTGAAGAAGTAATTATTCAGTTATGCCCCTCCCATAACCAAATTAAAATGACTTTGTGAGGTCCTTTTTTAGTGTTAATCTAGATATTTAAGATGCAATGAACTATAGTTTGAAGATGTAATTATTCCTTTATGCTCCTTCAATAACTAAAATAACATGCATTATCAAAAGAAAATAACTACAATGAAATGCATAATAGCATAGAGATAATACAAGCATTAGGATGAAATCTGTAAATTTTGGGTATACTTGAGTTTACAATAAAAAGTGCCATAGCCTACATTCTGAACTAATATTGCCTTTTCTTAAACAACTAAAACATTTCATTAATTGTTAGGATAAAGAAAAGGGAGTGTGGTAAATAAATACCATGTTGGCATAGAAAATATGTGCATATGAGTATAGGACTGCACTACAGTCATCCACAATATTCTTTAATTTGTGAAAGGTATTACCTCCCCTCAAATCTGAATTGAGATTAGCTAGACGAGAAGCGGAGGCTATTACGGACCAAATTTCATTCCAGGCACTATGATGAAGTGTGTTCCCTTCAATAATCTTTTCTGAATGGTGTACCATGGTTCTCTCGCGTTATTGGTATCCAGATGAGATTGTTTTCTTCTTTGCAGAAAGAGACAGCTTAGTGCTGGCTGATTGAAACAACAGTTTTGCAAAAAAGTCCAAAAAAGAGTTTGGATTCATCAAATGTTTGATAATTTTTTTTCTAGTTGCTGCTTGTTACTTAATATTTAAAGTATTCCTTGACAGATGTAATGCTTGATGAACTGTATTTTACAATCTCACTAATATAACTTGCATTTGGAACTTACCCTCCACGCAGTAAACACACCCAATGTTTTACCTTGTTGTCCATCTTAGCATGCAAAATTTTCTGCAGATGAAGACGGGATGTGTTGCCCTTGTTTTGTGTTTAAACATCAGCGTTGATCCACCTGATGTAATAAAGATATCTCCTTGTGCTCGAATGGAGTGTTGGGTTGGTATGTTTCTCCTCCTCCTCCTCCTTCTTCTTCTTCTTCTGCTTGTAATATAACCAGCTACTGTTCTTTTTGCTAATATTTTGTTTTAATGAATATACTTTATTTCATTCTATTTACATTTTGTAATTTTCAGCAATACCTTTTATATCCTGAAGGATGATTGTCCATGATGATTGACCATAATATTCCCTTTTCCCCTAAGAAAAATAATCTCAGTGGTAAATTTGTTTTAAAGTGAGACCCTGCTCTTCTAAAGGATTATAGCTTTTCAATCTTCTTACTTGCATTGTGATAGAGATATTTGCTGAAAGGACTTAGGACTATAGATACAACTTCTCAAGAATTAGCTATTGGTAAAGTGTACAAAGGCGACTTGAATTTGATATGTTCCAGGAGGATTTGTTAGGAAAGCAACCTGGACTTTCAGGATAGACTTCTCATGAAGCCTAGGAAGTTCATTCCTCAAAGTTTCCGTTTGTTCCTTGATAACAAACCGTATTAAACTTGATGGTAGGATCACCACTCTCGTATAAACTTTAAATTCATAAGGGCAATATTTAACTCATGTAGAACCTCAGTTAAAGCACTCCATCCAAACCAAAAAAAAAGAGAA